GAAGTACGTAATATTAACATATAAACTATATGATCATAACATATAAAACTATAATACTTAGTGTAAAATTAAATATATACACCAAATTTATACAAAAAATTTGGCAAAAGTGAATCATTAATTTTGTAAAATTGAGAAATATAAAGCATGTAGATATACTTTAAATGAACAAGTGAAGGATTAAGTTGGAGATGATGGGGAATCTTTTTTTTTTTTTTTTTTTCTTTCATATTTCGTCATCCAAGAAGTTGATAAAGAAGTGATAAGGAACCAGAAGAAGCACACAGAATGAAAAATTAGTGTCCAAAACAATTTGTGGGTCATAACAGGATGGATATTCAATAATCATAACAATTCAATTATATTGTATCTTAAAATTATTATCATGAAAAAATATACCAATCAGTTAAATAACAGTTTGTTTAATTGATTTATCTTTTCAATATAGCACTAATCATGTCTTCCACTAAGGAACATTCACATGCCTATATACAATATATATATATATATATATATATATATTAATGTTGAACTGAATGCATATTATATACATATGGGTATACCGTATAAACACAGATAACTTGTTAAAAGGAAAAGTCATGTCGAAACATAAGAATCTGAAATTAATTTGGTGAATTACAATTTGGGATTGGTTGGTGTAAGGTAGTGATTTCATGTACATATTGCTCCCCAAATAAGCAACTCATAAACACACCACTTGTACTACTAACTAAATAATGCAAGGCAGCCACACCTAAAATTATAATATTTGGAGTAAATAAAAAAGGTAATTAATTTTTTTTTTCTTCATTCACAATCTCCAACTACTCTACCAAAAGGAAGAGAGAAGATTAAGGTATTTATATTTAATTACTTGATTTGATACTAAGGGAGGAAGGGAAAGTTCATCATCACATGCTAATTAATTTTTTGAATTTCTTTTTGTTGGGATCTCCTAATTACCCACATTTTTTTGTCTTCTATATATATATATATATATATATATATAATATACATACCCCTTTGTTTATTCCCCATCATTCTCTTCCATATGTGTGAATAGTTAACCCCCAATATATATATATATATATATATACAGACACTCTTAGAGAAAGTTTGAGCTTACAAAAATATTTTATGAGCACTATGTATTAACCATTAGATTCTACTTGTTTAAAACTTTAAGATTTTATAAATCTAAATCCAATGGTTAATAATGGCGCTCACTATATTTAAATTATATTTTTTTTTTTTTTTTATTATGATTCTCCAATCTTATTATATATATATATATATATATATATATGTGTGTGTGTGTGTATAAAGTGGAAGGCCGGACAAACTGTGTTAATTAATATTAGAACTGCTTCTGTTTGTACCCTTTGCCATTGTTAATTAATTAGCATTGCGTGCCTGCCCGCATTTAATAATTAATTAATGTAATTGCAGGGCTTAATTAAAGTCCCTGCACATGCATGTAAAAAGTAATTTAACTTAATTTAATTAATTAATAATAATCACCTTAACGACTATGTTTGAAACAAATAAATTTCATTTGTGCAATTGATTTCAAAATTTATGGTTATTTCTATTATGATATTATACAAATATTATGAAACAGATTTCCCAAAGCATCTTAAATAGTTGAGATAATAAATTTAATTTTATAAAAAGTTTAAAATATAATTTTCTTTAATTTCACGTGAAAGTATCTAAGAATTTATATATAGTTTCAAGTGAAGTTGATTTAATTATTTATGAACATAAAGTTTCATCATCAATATTTCAAGAGATCCTAACTAAGATATACACCAAGTTGTCGGGCATTATCTTACGTTGGTCAAACAACTTTGATTTGTTTTGTGCATAATGCTTTGCCGACTACGTATGTTGTAACTACTTTTTTGCTTCTTAAAATTATTTGTGCTAAAATAGATAGCACTACGAGACAATTCTAGTGGGAAACCTAAGGAAGATATGCCCTCATAAGTTGGTTTTCATTATGTAAAACCAAAAAAAAATTGAGCGTATTGACTTTTTTGTAGACGGGTGGTAATTTAATTTAACACCTACTTGTTAAGCTAAACTAGTCGATTCTCAATAAGTTTCGGATTCAGTTGTTTTAACACCATAAATTTTTCTCAAGCAATTACTAAAATACTTGTAGAGAAAACTTCTTATACTTAGATATATTCTACCAAAAAAAATACAGAGCATGTTTTCTTACAACAAATAGATCTTTTAGATTTAGACCATTGGGTTCAAAAAAGATCCCAATCACAAAGTAATTTACATTGTTTTCAATCAACTTATAGATCATAATAAAATGCAATGGTATATGTTGAATGTCTTAGAAACTTTTAGTAATTATATAGTCCATGAAACTAATGGTGTCTGATTATCTCCAAACATCTTGTTCTAAAAAATAGGTTTGGATTTTTTTGTTCGATGACTTTTATTATGTAAAGTATGTCAATAAATAATTTACTAATAATTGCAATATTAGCACTAATCGAAGCACTTAGTACTAATTGAAATAGATTTTGAGCTACTAATGTTTAAGAATGTCAAAAAATGTTATGGTGGCATCTTGTAACTAAAAGTCTCTCGAGCATTCAGGACATTGAGAATGATTATAATCAAGATGTTATTTCTCTAACAAATTGTATTGTATATATATATATATATATATATATATATATATGTATACACACACACAAACTATTTATTTTAAATATTCTATAACTAGGTGTTGCTTCTCTCATTTAGCCTTGATTTTATATTAAGTAAAAAATTTGCCTTTTTATTATATTAATGAACTTGGTATTTACATTGTACTCACGGTGAATATTAATAGTCCTTTTAATGCTACATGGAAGAATATTTTACTACATATTTCTATCTTAACAAATTTCTTCTTTAATGGTGGTGGAGAAACAAAGCTCTATTAGATGACATAGATTATTCTTGAGCCAACTTATTAAAGGTCTGAAACATTTTTCAGCTCTTTTTGCTCAGCGAGAGAAAAACTTTTATGCCCCATCAATAACAAGCTTCAGCTCTTTTATTTTTTTGGTATGATACAATTTTCTCAACCTCTTTAACATCATTTGGCTAAGACAATCAACTTTTAGCCATCTAACAGTTTGAAAGTGAGACTATCCTTTATTTTTCTGAAGATTGTTGGCAATTTAGAGTCTTAAAAAATAGTCAATTGCGATTATTACCTAAATATGCTTAATCTTTTTATATCTTGGTTACTATTTCTTTTGTTATATCGATATTAATAATTACATTTAAACTAAAATATCAAATTAGACCTAATTGGCCAAACTGCATTAGACAAAATATAATTTTGTCTAATTTTAAGTCATGAGTTATGGAGTCTGAAAATTTCTATCGATGTGGCCCACTTGGTCCAATTAGACTGAAATTTTATATAAAAATATTTAAAAAATATTAATTATATATTTATATTTGATGAATTATTTATTTTTTTATAAATTTAGTTAATTATTAAATTGATTAATGTTTATGTTTTATGAACTTATTGTAATTTAAATCGTTATTGATTACATTAATTATTTTTAACTAAAAAGTAATTTTTAAAAATAAATTCAATTTAGTTCAATTTGGTTAAGAATTAAAAGACTAAAACTTATTAGTCCCATTCGAATAAGTGAATGCTCTTAATACACTAAGTTACTTCTAACACTATATTGGAAAATCCATCTTTAATGTAACAAATTCAACACTCTCTGTAATAGTTTCATGGAGAACCTAATACTTTTTTTTTTTCACTACGAGTGAGAGAAAATAGAATAAAACAAGAAAAGCAACAGTGTCTGGTTAGACAAGCCTAGACCGTGTCACAACTATAAAGGTGTAGAAGTTGTTTCAAATTTTTAGGAGCCCAAGAGAGTCTAACAAGCCTAATGGGGCTATGGTGAACCCAATATGTCAGGCTATCAGCATACCTGTTGCCTTCCTTGTGAACATAAGAGAATCTAATAATATATTCATGATCCAATAAGTCCTTGATCTTGACATCGTTTTTTGTGTTGTCGTAAGTGCCTATCACAAGGCAATGCCAATAAAATTGTTTTTCTTGATTCCTAAATCTTTAATTTTGTTTTGTTTTATAAATAATCCAAAAAATCAAAATAAAATCATATGTATTCGAATTGGAAAAAAAGAAACTTTAATTTCAAAGATTTAATACAAGGTGGCGCTGATACCATTTATAGGGATTTTAAAATAAATTAGATCTGAATCTAAAATATGTTCATATCAAATCAAAACAATAAATCTATAACAGAAGTGTACCTGAATCTATAGTGGAAGAAATCTACACATCTTATGCTAGA